TGTGCGTGTGTGTGTGTGTGTGTGTGCGCGCGTGCATGTATGAGCGCCATAGATTGTATGCGTGCGTGATCCTGCGGGCACTGAGAATACGCACAGCCGCGGGGGGCGAATGCGGGATAACGTGAGAAATAGAAAACCCACATGTGAGAGAGCTTGTGTTACAGAGGGACACAGAGAGTAAGGAAGGCACAGAGCGCCGGGGGACAGGGGGGGAGGGGGGAGAGAGAGAGAGAGAGAGAGAGAGAGAGAGAGAGAGAGAGAGAGAGAGAGAGAGAGAGAGAGAGAAGAGGCTCAGAACGGAAGCTACAGCTCCTGGTATCCGACTGTTCTTTGGGTGTCTGAATTAGTCAGACACGAGTAATAGCGCTGTCACATTTGGAACAAAGCCGTGAGGGTGTCTCTTAGAGTTTCGCTACAGCAAGAAGGCAGCCTCCTTACGAAACCCAGGCTCTGATCATTTGCCAGGTTACATTCTCCACCCACACTGTGAGCAGAACGGAGAACGTTCTCTCTAGTAGTGTCTACTCGTCCCGTCTTTAGTCTCCTTTGCTCTCAATCACTCGCACTATAGCATCAAATTGCTCTAACGTGGATGTCACTGTGCGTGCTGTTTGAAGGCAACCGGCCGTGTCCCCTACAGAAAGGAAAGAGCTGACGTCACCTCCCAGATTTTGACGAACCCCCCCTCGTGGTGTACGTCAGCCCCAGGACTTGAGTAGATGTTTCAGGCTGCAAGACTGGTCCGATTAAGTAAGGACGATTTTGCTATGTCTTTGGCCTAAGCTTCGCTAATGACAAGGCTGCGCACACTATCAGTTGGCCACATCTCTTCCTTTGTTCTGCCTTCAGAGAAACTCAGACATCGTTTTTTGGCTTGCACCAAAAGCGGCACGGTCTTGCATGATCCCTCGTCTTGTTCAAATCGTCGAAAACCTTGCTGGCAATCTATTGAGCTGAGGCAACAGTCGTTTCCCCAGGCTGTTTTCGTTCGTGCAGTTCTGTCATCCTCGGTTTCGAGTGCCCTCCCAAAGAGAAGAGAGGGTCCTTGGCTAGCGGATCGCGGCGCAAACATAGCACCACTCTGCTTCCTTTTTCCTCTTCTTCCACCACTGGCGCCAACAGTACTGGTACCTGTTCCTCGTGCCATCCTCGGAAGCTGGAAAGGGAGCTGTACTACGCTCATTGAGTCATTGTGGCATTCTGGAGGTAGATCATCGAAACCGGTGTATTGCTTGACCTGTGACAGCAGGGTCATCATATTCGGGTCGCCGGCAAGAGACGCCTGGGTTTCGCCCCAGCCAAAGGCTTGTGGACGGTCCTGGCTCTGTTTTGCATTCACGGCTCGCGACCATCGTCCTGCTCACGCCATATGGAATTTACATGTCTTATTACCTCTCCACCTTCGAGCACGTGCACGTGCCGAGCCACCGGGTCGGCGGGGTGGCGGAGTGGCAGAAATGTTGGTCTAATGGACATAAGACGGATCAGACGAACACGCCGAAAAACAACGATGAGCAACGAGAATTATGCAAGGATGGGATTGCTTTGAGTGTTGAACACACTAAACGATGGTGGATCAGTATGTTTCCCACTGCTCAAGGATCTATCGTTAGTTCATCGATGGCGTTCAGCCGGCAGTTCCTGGACGTAAAAATTTTGCCTTGGATTGGCCCTGTCGCTCACTCTCGTTTTTGCGGACTCCGTGTGATAGGTTTTCCTTTGGCCCGCTCCTTTTTTGACGAAGCAAGAAATCCGGACTGCTCTGTGTGTGTGTGTGTGTGTGTGTGTGTGTGTGTGTGCGCGCGCGTGTGCGTGTGTGCGTGTGTGCGTGTGTGCGTGTGTGCGTGTGTGTGGGTAGTTGCTGGCGAGTCTCTTCTTTATGTTGTAGTTGCTGGCGAGTCTCTTCTTTATCTTGAGGTGTGCTATGTGTTTGCGATGTATGCACGAGGGTGGCCGTGTGAGCACCTTTTTTCGCGAGATTACTGTCGGGTTGAACCTTTGTAGTCGTACGCCTATCAGTTTATGCCATGTGCGTTGTACCGATAGGTCTTCCAGCACGTAGCGACATTATCAGGCTCGCCTTCAACCAGAACTGAGTGCTTTTCTGGTCTTTGACTTACATTGTGAATTAAGAAACGAAACCTTGACGGCTTCAAATAGCCGGAGACTATCTTTCTTCTTCATCCATTCGTTGTATCTCATGATGATCTCAGTAAGCCGAGAAACTCCTTTGCCACAAGCGCGTGAGGCCGCAGGGGTGGTCACGACGACCCCATGCATCTTAAAATCGAGACAGAAACCGGTCCCAGGAATACGTAACGCCAATTGTAAGAAGACAGGCTTCAGAGAAAATGTCAGCCCAACGTTAAACCCACACGGTTGAACCACGCCCACGCTCCCGACCACAAGAGCCCATTTTAACTAGCTCGTTGGGTGGTCTTTGGCCGTGCAGCATTGACTTGAATTCGTGTGAGGAGGTCATTCTTGTATTCCTACTTGGATCAGCCACTTCCTTTTTGCTACACAATTCCCGCTGCATCTGCTGCTGCTTTCAAAATCATGAGCGGAAAAGTTTCCTCAGCTTGGTTTTCGCAAGGTGTAAGGCCATGCACTGCATGCAGCTTCGAAATTATAGTCAGAGCAAGCACTCCAGCTCGGAAGACATGCAGCAATTTGCCAGAGCTGACGTTCAGATGCGGCAACTTCTGTCATTCTTTCACAGGAGCCTGAACTATGGAAATTTTGAACCGCTACAGTTGCCTCTGTGTGAATTCCATTGCCTGAAATTCTCTCATGCGGCAGATAAGCGACGACCTTCACGATTTGTATGAATCCTTAAGCGAGTGATGTTGTCATTGCTAACACTTATGGCGGATCATCGCAGTCAAGGGAATTGCTCTGGCCCGCAGATACGGTAACCTCTCTCGTTCTAGCCTTACTTAGCGTCTGAGATCTGAACAACAGCAGTGCACTCTTAAAACATGTTTATGCGGCAAGTGCACCTTTTCCCCTTCGTTTGAGCTCATACGTGCGTTGTAGTTTTGCCTTAATCCGTACCAACTGCTCCCAACACAATCAAGTGAACCATGCGACCAGTTCAATGCGATCCCTTCGCACATAGCACTCCAATCAGTCACTCAATCCCAATGGTATCAGCCACGCTGCCTGACTCCCAGGTCTGATCTTCTCTGTGTTTGTTCGCCTCTCTCTCTCTCTCTCTCTCTCTCTCTCTCTCTCTCTCTCTCTCTCTCTCTCTCTCTCTCTCTCTCTCTCTCTCTCTCTCTCTTCTTTGTGTCCTTCAGGAACTGCATTTTCTTACTCGGTATTCCAATTATTTTTGTTGTCAGTCTTCTGCACCCACCCACCTTACCTGGCAGCTGTTACAGAGTGCCTCTAGCTGCCCTGGACTAGAGCCAGGGCTATCTGGCTATTTTGCCTGTTCGGCCTGTGGGACCAGGCTGTGGCCCGACCCCACAGGCCATTCAGTCCAGTCAAGTCCTGCCCGGTACCACTGTCGATACCAGGCCAGTCCAGTCCAATCCAGTCCAGTCAGTCCGCTGGGGGTATACCCCAGCTGCAGTCTGTTTTCAGTCTCATTCGTCATTTGCACAGTTTGGAGTACGTGCGTGTTGAGTCTGCGTTGGAGCTGCGCCGTCCCTTCCATCTCCATCTCCCCCATCCTCATCCCTTCGTCTTGATCCAGACGGACCGCCATCCTGGCGGGTCCGTCACACTGGTATCAGAGCGGGAACAGTCCCCGCTCCCGCCCATCCCACCCCGCAAGTGTGAGAAAATGGTGTAATCTCGATAGCGGGATTTTGGCCCTTTTTCGGAGCCAGAAGACGGGAAACAGCCGGAAAAGTGAGCAGCGCTGAGTGACGCACACATGGCGAAAAAGAAGAGTGCCGGCACGCATACGCGCCAAGGCCAAGGCCGCTGCATGCGAACACGCCACGTGCCCACGCTGCCCCACACCGCCCCGCTCCTAGATTATATTATATTAGTATCCGGGAGTGTAGCTGCCAAGATTTGAACCTGGGCAGCTGCCAGCCATGCGCGTGTGTAGCCAGTGGCTTAACACACTGGCCAAACTCTATCCATGTGCTTGTAACACAACACGTTGGTGTTGACCCCCCGCCGCCCTCCCCTTTCCCCCCACGTCAACGAGCGGCGAGTGGCGAGCAGTAGCCAACACGACAGTAGCAGTTGGGGTGCTATTCCTTCCTATTCCCCCCCGGCGTCGTGGCTGCTGCTGCATGCGCACACTGTCATCTGCAGTGCCACGTGGCAGCTTGCTAAAGATCTTGAAGACCCCCTAGCTGGGGGGCTGCTGCATAGTGGGATCTGGGTGGCTGATCAAGATCTTAGCACACCCAGATAACGATGATGATTATAATTATTATTTTTTCTACTGTTGCACCGGGAGTTTGACAGCAGTCAAGAACCCCCTGGCTAGGGGGTTGCGCTGTTGTGCGATCAGGGTGGCTGATCAAAATCTCAGCCAACCCCATATTATCATCATTATTTTTTTATTTCTGCGACAGCAGGCCAACAACACATCGAAGGCCAAGATTTTGTGGATCTTGGTAGTGTTCTTTGCTTTTGGCCACCCTAGAGCTTGGTATAACCTACCTGCTGACTAACCTACTCTCCCCCGACCTTTTTTTTCTCCTTTCCCCTACCATCTAATCATTCTTTTGAACTCTACCACTGCTCCTTTATGTATCTCACTCTTTTCTCTTTTTTTCCCTACTTCTCTCCTCTCCTTCCCACTTTTCTCTCATACCTCTCCTTCACTCATCTTCCACCAATTTTCC